GGAGGAGGAGTGAGGAGGAGAAGGAGGAGGAGGAGGAGGAGAGGAGGAGGAGGAGAGAGGGAGGAGGAGGAGGAGGAGGGAGGAGGAGAGGAGGAGGAAGGAGGAGGAGGGAGGAGGAGGGAGGAGGAGGAGGAGGAGGGAGGAGAGGAGGAGGGGTAGGGAGGAGGAGAGGGGAGGAGGAGGGAGGAGGAGGAGAGGAGGAGGAGAGGAGGAGGAGGAGGAGGAGGAGGAGGGAGAGGGAGGGAGGAGGAGAGAGGAGGGATAGAAAAGAGGACGAGGAGCGCAAGTGGCACGAAACGTAGCAGGTTCCGACAGCCCCTGCATGCCGATGGCAGCCCGAGTTGCCCGAGGCAAGCCAACGTATGCCGCGGATGTCTGGGGAGGCGAAGCGGCGTGCCAGTCATGGTTGCGAAATACTGGAACCGCAGCAATGCATGCGCGTTGGCACATCCACGAGACAACCGAGTGGTATGAGAAGCAGGGGACGCAAGCCCAATGCGGGCGACGGGGCCGGAAGGAAGAGGCGGGAGAGCGAGGGGCACAACTCCGAGGAGGCGAGGACGAGTGAGGGTGTGCGGGAGAGGGCCAGGGAAGAAGGGGGAGCCACGGCGGCAAGTCCTGGGGCACTCGGCCTCGACCCTCTGTGTGTGGTCGCCCACCCGCCCACGGTGGTCTCGATGTGTGCCCGAACCCATGCAGGCCGTGAGTCGAGCAGCACCTGTCTCAATGCTGGCCACGAGCGCTGCAGCCTCGAAGGAGGCGTGGCTGCTGGCTCTCCTGGCCACTTGTCACCGCTGCGCTGAAGGAGGAGGGGCCGAGGGACGACAGCTTTGGGAGGAAAGTGGTCGGATCCTGCTCCCAGCGCAGGGGCTCGAACCCGCGGGGCGGAATGCGGCAGCGCACCAACGAATCGCGGACTGGCTGGCCGCCAGCAAGCGAGGGCGCGCCAACTTGAACCACGGCACGCTCCCCACAGCGTCGGCCCCTCTTTGCACCATCGACACCGTCGCCCTGGGCTCCTCCCGACGCGAGTTGGACCGCTCGCCCCGGATGGCCGCAGCCACCCCTGGCGCACCTACACGCACTGGATCCAAGCTGCTCGGCCCAGGGGATCCGAGCCGCTCGCTCCGAGCTGCTCGCCCCGCTCCCGGCGGCGGGCGGCGGCCGTCGCCCGCCCCGCACGCCCCGCCGTGACGGACGGAACGCTGGGGCCGTCGAGCGCGGCCTCGGAGGAGGAGCAGGAGGAGCAGGAGGAGGTGCAGGAGGAGGAGCAGGAGGAGGAGGAGGAGGAGGAGGAGGAGGAGGAGGAGGAGGAGGAGGAGGAGGAGGAGGAGGAGGAGCAGGCGGAGGAGCAGACGGTGCTCCTCGCATGCAGCCCAGCACGGGGACGGCGCACGCACGGCCGCAGCACGGCCCGAGCAGCAGGGCCGGGCGAGGCGAGGAGCGGCGGGGAGGACGGGGAGAGGCCCACCGCGGGCGAGCGACTCGCAGAGGGCCGGGCACCATCTCGAGGCGCTTGCTCACGTGCGGGTGGTAGTTCTTCCAGTGCCCCTTGCCGCCGTCGTTGGGGTCGCCCCACCACCACTGGCGCGAGGCGGGGGGGGAGGGGAGCGGGAGGGGGAAGTGGGGCAGGCGGAGGAGCCGAATCAGGGCAGCGAAGACGACGGAGGAGGAGCGTGCCAGGCCAGTGTTGGCCGACCTGGCCCAGATACGCTACCGAAGGAGTCCCGAAGCCCATCCCGAAGACAATCCGAGCGACGACGAGAGATCAGGAAGATGAGGAGGAGAAGAGGAGGGAGTGAGGGAGGGTTGAGGGTGGTGCGACGCTGGCATGGGACGTGAGTCTGCGGTCAGAATGGGAGGGAGGAGGAGGAGGAAGAGGAGGAGAAGAGGAGGAGAAAGAGGAGGAGGAAGAGGACGAAGAGGAAGAGGAGGAGGAGGAAGAGGAAGATGAAGAGGATGCGCCAGAATATCCAACACCACCCTGCCCATTGCAATAAGTGGGGGGGAAGGCACGGGTTGCAAGTTGAGGGAGGTGGAAGAGATCGAAGGGCCCCGCCAGGCCGGCCTACACCAGTAGGTGATGCGCAGCATCACTTGCACACCGCATTGTTTGACGAGCCCGCCACGGCACGATTGCTCCTTGACGCTCCCACTCCCCACTTCTGCTACCAATGCCTGCAGTATATTATTTAATGTGGCCTCACTCGAGGCGAGCAGAGGTCCTCCCCTCAAGGTTGAGCGTACTAAGTATCCCTACCCTACCCTCTTTAGCACCATCTCACTCCTTCCACAGACTGTTAGTATCAACTGCCCTCACACTTAACGCCTTTCCCAACATCAGCCCATCGGTCACTTGGGGCTACCATCCCGCGCTCCACCTCCGCATCACCCCCACCACCAGTCAGCGCGCTCCCTCCGCCCCGACCCTTTTATTTCGGCACGGCACCGCCCCCTCACGGCACCGCCCCTCTTCATCCCAAGCGCCCCAGTCTGCATCACCCCACTTACCAGCCAGCGCGCCCCCTCCGTCCCGAGCCCTTCATTCCGGCACTCCCCCCCGCCCCCCCATCCCGCGCGCCTCTTCCGCATCCTCCCACCCACCAGTCAGAGCGTCCCCTCCGCCCCGACCCTTGTACTTCGGCACGGCACCGCCCTCCCCATTCCGCGTGCCACCTCCGCATCACCCCGCCCTCCAGCCAGCGCGCCACCTCTGCCCCGACCCTGTTCTTTCGGCACGGCGCCGCCCACCCCCCTCATCCAGCACGCCCCCTCCGTATTACCCCACCCACCAGCCAGCGCGCCCCTTCGCCCCGACTCCTCGGCACGGCACCGCCCACCCCATCCTGAACGCCCCCTCCGCATCACCCCGCCCACCAGCCAGCGCGCCCCCTCCGCCCCAACCCCTTTATTCCCTACCTAGGCTCTGCCTAGAAGGGTTCTTACCGTGTTGGCTTAAAGGGCCGGGCAGTGTTCCACGCCCCAGGCGGTTGCCCCAGGATCCGCCCCGCGGTTCCCCCAGTTACGTCCCCTGGGCTCACCCAGCTTAGCTTAGCTAAACTAAGCTAGGCTAAGTTTAGCTAAGCTAAGCTAAGCTAAGCTTAGCTTAGCTTAACTTAGCTTAGCTTAGCTAATATCATCTTAGCTTAGCTTAGTTTAGAATAGCTTCGATTAGCTTAGCTTAGCTAGGCTTAGCGTAACTTAGCTTAGCTTGGCTTAGCTTAGCTTGGCTTAGCCTAGCCTAGCCTCGCCTAGCTGAGCCTAGCTTAGCTTAGCTTAGCTTCGCCTACTTTAGCTTAGCTTCGCTTAGCGCAGCATAGCGCAGCGCAGCATTAGCACAGCATAGCATAGCATAGCATAGCATAGTCATTCATACCATAGCATCGCTTAACATAGCATAGCATAGCATAGCGCAACATAGCATAGCATGGCATGTCATTGCTTAGCATAGCACAGCGCAGCATAACATATCATAGCACAGCATCGCATAGCATAG